ATATATATATATATATATATATATATATATACATATAACATTTTTCATTAAATCGGCGCATGTTGCTTGGCGAATAGATAACTTTAATTTTTACGAACAAGACGAAATCTTTTAACTCGATTCTGATTTGGCGACTTTTTATGGATTGCCAACATATAGATAACGCGATATGATCTTCGAAACACTCGTACGTAATTCGGATCGTGCGTACGTAAGTCACAAGTCGTTTCCGCGGCTCGATAAGAACGCCTTGGTGCGATTAGAGAGCCACTGAATGAGAAGGATACGAATGGGAATAAAACGCGTGTTCGCGCGGTTATCGCTAAGTCTGTTTGCTTTTTATCAACGTCGTGCGCGATAATTTCTTCTCCAAATTGCGAGAGCCACGGCCGAGTGACTACACGTTTTTACTACGCATTCTCGCGCACAGATGCGATCGCGCTATTCTTTCTCGCCTCTGCCGTGACACAGCGGATTGATTGCCAATCTGACATGTACAGGAATGATTTATTATTGGTACACCGAATCTGATTTGAATAACTTAGACGAGCGAATGATTATTAGAAATTCCGAAACGGTATTGCTAGACGGGAGTATCGTAATAAAAAGCGAGCTATCTAGGCAGAACCGTTGAAGGAAATAAGAAGGACGCGCGGGAAAGAGGGAGAAAGAGGAGTGATATCCATATCGTGTTTCAAAAGAGGTACATATCCGCGTTACAGAAGAATGCACAGGCATGAGAAACATCTCATGCCTGTGTAAAACGAAAAGATCTACCTCTCTTTCTCGTCATACATAGATTTTTCCGCGGCGCCACATTATTGGCGAACGTCCAACCGAGGCGGCAGCCCCGTACCTCGTCTATTTTCGTTGATTCCGATCTTCCTGAAAAGCCAGCCCAGCAAACGGGTCGCGCTCGCCCTCGATGCTCCTTCCGCCAATGGCATTTAGCGAACGCCGCCGTCGTGGCGACCGCGCGCGATTAATACCGCTATAAAGATGACGATAATCGTGACGAATCGACGTCGCGCATAACGAGCGCTGCAGATAATAAAGAGACGATACTCTGCGTATCTATCTCGCTCCGATTCTCCGACGTTCAGAACTGTCGTTCCATACCGCAATGCTCGCGGTGACAAAAGCAAGTACACAAGATTATAAAAGTTTTTTTTTTTTTTCTGAGATAATCGCGTGTATGTATTTATTGAAAAATGAATTTGTCCATTCCGCAATTCTAAGTTAAATCTGTTTTTAGATAATTTATTATCTTCGTCTCAACTCAAATATTTATTTTAATTCTATCAACATTTCTGGAAAGAGTTTGTCTTGTCTTGTTCTGGAAAGAGTCTGGAGAGAGTCTCTTAAGAGTTTTGAATATTGCAATTATATAGAAAAATTAATTTTTTATTTAATTATAATTGTAGATTTTTTAACAAAATAATTTGCTTTAGAATTTTAAATACTTGATATAAAAAGTTAAAGATATTTGATTTATAAATGATTCTAAATTTATGATTTTGGCGAATCGTAAAAATTTGGAACATTTTGTGTTACCGGAATTGTAAAAGCAATTCTTAAAGACTCTGCTTGTTCTATCCGGTGCTTCTCTGACTCGTTTGTTCGTTCTCTTGTAAGGTCCGGAATCACAGACTTTAATTTATACGCAGCGGTGATTCAGGGGAGAATGAAAGAGAGAAAAGAGGAGTGCAAGAAAAAAAAAGATTAAAGGAAGCATTCTTCTCGGGAGGGGCGCTGGCTAGTCTGCAGCCAGTCTGAAAATCGACGTCTTTAATTCGCATATGTGACTCAAGCGTCTCCTCTTTCCTGTTCCCTCTCCATCGCTCCTCGCTTCTGTCTTTTTCTCTCTCTGTTTTATCTGTTCATTTATCTTGAATTTTAAAATATTTTTAGAAAACTGTCAGGTGTCTTTTGTTCTTTCTCTTTCCTATTTATCTATCTCCACGATCTTATTCGACGGCCATTGTTCCTTTATAAATAATTTTCATAATCAATTATAACTGAATAATGTGATTAATGTGATTACGTTAAATCTAAAAGGATTTATTCCATTTCGCGATTTTATCCGAAATCAATCTTTACATTCTCTCCTCGTTCCTCTCGTTCTCTCTTTCTCTTCCTCGGCGCCACCGCCCCGATCACTCGTTGCACGCACCAACGCTTCTCCCTCCGTGCAGCGTGTGCGGCATGCAACAGGTATCTGTGCTGACGTCAGGACGAAGCGAGAGGGAGATACGCGACGTCCCGCCGACAAAGACGGGATGATCGGCTCGGAGACGCACCGGCGGAGGAAGCCACGGGCCGAGAGAAAGAAAGAGCAGGAGAGAATGCAGCGGGGACGCGTACGGAGGATCACGCGCACAGACACACGCGAGACTCGGCCTGCACATGACTCGTGCGTCGGCTGCATCCGCCGTCTCTTTCCGTCCCGCGCGATTGTCCTTCTCCCCTCGCTCCTCCCCCGTCGTCGTTCAGTCGGCCGACGAGCTCCGAGCTTAAACTCGAGCCGAGTTGTGTCACCGCGCCGCGCTGTGTTACGAGGCTGTTATTCAACGCGCGCGCGAAAATATGCGACGGGCAGCGACGTACCGACGTACGACGATGGTGCACGCTTAGTGCGACGAGGTCGAGAGGATCGATTCGGGAACTCTGAGCCGAAAGTCGGTCGGCCGCTGAAATTTTTACGCGCGGAGCCGCGATAACCCGATATCTGTCATCGCTCGACCGAAGTATCGCTTAATTAATTTTTTAATCTTTTATTATTATATCGTTTAGAGCGCACGAGCTGCTTTCCGCGAATTCTTGAAAATAACCACGATTTTCATTTTAAGAGGTTTCCTGCGGTAAAACGCGAATATATTCTTGAAAAAAAAAATGTATCGACAAATAATGTTAAAATTTTTCTTACCGTGACACGTATGCGTTTCATATACGCGTACGTTTCCGCGCGCGCGATTTTGTTTACAAATTCCTCGAGTCTCGTCCGACAGTCAAGCTCGCCGACGTGTCCGTTACTGTAATTCCGCGAACTGCTTTAACAACGTCATGAATCACGGAATGACTCCGTGCACCGTAATGTATGCGCGCAGAAACGAGAGATAACAGGCGCTGCCATTATTTTCGTATGCGATTACTATTCCGGACGTGACGCTGCTGTACTGTTCGTGTGAGTCGCTTCCAAATGATAGTAATACACATATCGATAACGATATGATGATAAGAACAGGAGAATTGGATTAGAGCTGAAAAAGTCGAAAAAAATCTAAATATAAAACTGCTTCTCTCTCTCTCTCTCTCTCTCTTTCTCTCTCTTTCTCTAGCGGTACAAAACAAAATCGAAGTGAAAGCCAACTTTTAATTTCAAATAACACGATATCGCAAGAATTGCCTCTGTTACACAAGATGTTTTTCGCTTATCGAATTATTTTTTTCGAATCGTCGTTCAACGAAAACAATTCAAGCGCCTCGAGAATTAATCTCGAAAATCCCGCGGAGGAAAATTTGTTTATAGATAATTGTTTATAGATAATTGACATTGGTAAAGAAAAGACATTTCGTTAAGTAAATTCTGCTATCAACTTAAAATTAATCAAGCTGTTTGCAAACGTCTTGGAAAAATCGAGCCACCTAGGACTACAAGTTTGACATTTATCCTATCGTAATAGCCGGGAGTAGGGGAGGAGGTGGCCATGCATAGACCACTTCCTCCCTTTCCGCTTGCGAACGAGCGATGTAAATCTCTCTTTCTCGGGGCATAAGTTTAACAGTGCGTTCGCGTGAGAGCGACGATCTCGGACGCATATCGGCACGAGGAGAGTAGGACGCATGGCTCTCGGAACAAAGCACGTTTCGCGTGCGAGTACACGTATAGAATAGGATACGCGTATGTACAGTAAGCGCAGCAGACCGTCCCGTCTCGTCGCGGCTCAGACCTTAATGACGTCATTATCCCTAATTAGAATTCCCATAGTTGGCAGCCGCCACGGGGGACATCCCGTTACACCTAGGGACCCCGCGCCTCGACGCACGGATCGTATCGATGGCGCATCGGAGCTCCCTACACCTCGGAGGTGTGTACATCCTTGCGTGCCCGATACCTCACTTCCGGCTAAGTCAGACACACGCTGATCCCGCCTCCCCCGAAACGCCGAGTAATCAGATAAATTTGAAACGGCGTGCATATATTTTTGCGCGTGGCACGAGCGCGCAGTCCTTTGCCGATTTTTTTTTTCCGATTGTCGCAGAGATATCGCTGCCGGATTATCATAAACCAATATCGCGCGGGACGGTCGCTCTTAGCGTGGAATACACGTGGCTTTCACGTCATCTTTATTTTTGACGCGGCATTAAAAACCTCGACGCTCATCAATTTAGCATTTATTTTACCGAGAATTTGAGGAAGTTAAAATATCGGCCGCAGCTAGCGAACTCTCTCCTTCTGTCTCGTCGTCGAATTATAGATCGTGTAAAACGAGCCGCCGAGCATAGTCCACGCGTGATAGGCACGCCGGGTTAACGAGAATTGTGTATAGGATAAACTGCGGATGAGCAATCTGGCTGTGACCAATCGCCTGTG